GATGGTGCCGACCAAGGGGGTGTTTTCTCATTCGTGCTTTCGGGCTAACGTTTTGCTCTTCGTCTATGACCGAGGTTGCCTTGGGTGAGCTCCGCCCTCCTCGCTCTTCGGGAATTTTTCCGGCTTCCGCAATGGTGTCCCCCGATTCTCGGGACTTCCACCGACGCTGTGCACGCATGGATGACACGCTGTCCTCCCCGCCTTTTTCTGACAACAATTCTTGGAGGTCTTCAGGGGTGTCCCTATTTTGTCTGCCTCAGGACCTAACGGCGCTGCTACCGCGCCTTGGTCCGTTTTTTCCCGTACTGTGGCCTCGGTAGCGCCGTTGCTATACCGACCTGTGGTTCATGCTTTGTCTTCGCTTCCAGAAAGAGGGTCGCTCATTTCTTCGTTCGAGGACTAGAGCCCAGGCTTGGGCTGTGTCTGATGTTTCCCGTTACTGGTCTCACGTACGTCGGCCTCCCTTCGCGCCCCGTCGCATGCTCGTCTCTCTAGCAGCTCTCGCCAGACCGCCAAGGCAGCTGGGAACGCTCCCGGTTCGCCTCGTACGCCTGTCACGTCTACACCGACGACATCGTCAAACTGTTTCGGCGCCTTTCGTGCCCTCACCGCCGTCTGCGCGCTGTATTTCCCCCTGGTTCGCCTTTTTTGTCACCTGGGATTCCACTCCCTGTGTCACCGTCTTCACGGTCACGTGGGGCCGAGACTTCCTCAGTCGCTTCTTATGTATGATCTTCTGGAATGCTCTCTGGTTCTGCCACTACCGACACCTCCCAATAGAGACGGTGTAGGGCTTTAACCCATGGATTATTTCTAGAGGTTGTCCTTCCCCGCCTCCACCGGGTTTGTTGGATCTCTTTGCCCCCCTGCCCCCTCCTGATTAAGAGGGCGCGCTTTGGCCACATAATCACGATTACACACGACCGACGACAACATCATGCCTCTCTTGCATGAACCGACCTCTCTGCCGTTTGGGCGCTGTGGAGGGAGGATGACCCGCTTGTCGGACGGTGGACTTCCCCGTGTCTACATACCTATGCTAATGCGCCCATGGGCTCTCCTTGCTTGCCATGTGGCAGCTTCGTTTCATTTAGGAGTGCATCGTACGCTTCGATTACTTGGAGCTTCTTCTACTATGGATTGACCTAGATCGCTCTGTTTGTTAGGGGATTCGGGCATGTTTGATACGTCAGCTCGCAAGACTTAGCACCAGACCTCTTTGTGGCCTCTCATCGCTATGCCTTTGCCTTAGGGCCCTGGCAGTCTGGTAGGAGTCGGTTGTTTCAAGCCTTTGCCAATGGAAATCAAAGGAATTTCCTCCATTTTGTTGTTCAGAGTAGTTGCCGTGTGACCTTGGGAAGGCGTCCGCGTCAGGCGAACAAGAATGGATATTAAAAGGTACTGAGCGGAGACCGGGATGTTTTTGAGTGTGTGTGTGGCGGTGGTGCACGCATGACCCGCAGAAAATCGGTAGTGTTATATACGACACCGGTGTCGTACTTCCTTACATACGACACCTACCATTTCTTGGCCCACAGGGCTCCAATCGGCGTACAACAAAATGCGCTGTGTAGTCTAGGCATGTACTTCCTCTGTATCATAAGTTAGGGTACCTAAATGCAATAGATTGTCTGGGTGCAACCGTGTTAGTGATGGTAGCATAGTCGGGTTTGTAAGAAAGATATAACAAAGAAGAAGCGATGGAAAAAAAAAATAAGAAAAACGAACATCTATTTCTGTACCTACTATTGGTCAAAATGTACCCTATTTTGGCCTGTTTTGGGAATATTTTTGAGAAAATATTTTGGGATATTTTTTGAGAATTCTCGACAAAATTCTCAAATCCATTTTACTACCCTACTCTAGCGATGGAATCGCCCCCCAGCACACCACCTCGCAAAAGGGGCACCGAATTATCGGTTGGTAGGCGCTATGCCATGGCGGTAGAAATTGCGATGGGCATTCAGCCGGGGTTGTCAAGGATTCCCAAGGGCGTGCTTGACCCGATCTGCGAACGCTACGGTGTTGGAAAGAAGTACCCGTCCAAATTGTGGAAACGGGTCAAAACCCAGATCGACAACACCCAGGAGCTGGACCTTTCAAACGAAGCAAAGTGGGCGGCCGTCGCTTCTCACCCCTTCAAAGATTGCGGCGGCATCGAGTCCAAGTGATGATGAGGAAGAATAGTCGACTTTTTCTTTTTTTTCCCCGCCACCAACCAACCCTTCTTTTTGTCCCGCAAGTGTCTTGATTTTAGTGTGACCCCCCAAGTGTCTTGGTTTTAGTGTGTGACCCCCAAGTGTCTTGGTTTTAGTGTGGTTCACTACTATACTGATTTTAGTATAGGGGGCGCGACATGGATCGTTGAGTAGAGGGGGGGGTTGGATGAGGGCCCTACTGTTGCTTGCTTTGCCCCGTAAGTGTCTTGGTTTTAGTGTGGTCCCCCCAAGTGTCTTGTTTTCAGTGTGGGGGCCACTATTATGCTGTTTTTAGTATGGGGGACGCGTCATGGATCGTTGAGTAGAGGGGGGGCTAGGTTTAGGGTCAGGGATAATTCTTGGTATTTTTGCCTTGTTTTTGTCATTGCCCCGCCCCCCCCGCCTGGTCGGAGGGGGCAGAATACATGCAAAATGCAGCCTTTTTCAGGCCGACTGGTTTTTCTCGGGCGCTCATGCACGCGGGGTGGCGCATGCATGTAAAATAAAAAAAATGTTTCTTGCTCAAAAAACTCCGAAGATTTCAACAAAAAAATCGAAAAACAGGTCGGACACGGTTAAGGGCCGGTACAAATTTAGGTACCCTAACTTATGATACAGAGGAAGTATAACACTACCGGCAGAAAGTGCCCCGCACTACTGACTGACGCCATTCTTCAAGTCATCGTTTAGTCTCGGGGGGTATTCACTGGATATGAGTAGTCTGTCTAGGACTTCAGGGACTCTTAACCATACCGAGGAGTTTGAGTAAGCATTTCAAGAATACTCACAGGTGTACTCAACAGTTTGAGTCAGTATTTCAAAAGTACTCGTCAATACTCAGGAGGTAGGTACTATATTACTACTCATTTGTACTCAGATCCTTCCGTAAATATTTCAAAAATACCATCGATGCTCAGGCTGAGTGAGTATTTTTACTTCAGAAGTAGTTACTCATGCATACCCGGATACTTGAGTATTTTATTTTACTCGTCCTTGAGTACAAGGGCGCTTCGCTGCGTACCGCTTCGCGGTCGCCGCTACGCCCGTAGGTTTAATGGTGATGGCAAGTTTGTGCGGGTGGAGCTTTGAAATGAGATCCGAAAAAGAAATGCTGCGAAGAGAGAAAAGTTGTGTGCTTGTTCGAAGAGCAGGGACGCACCATGAATAAATTAATACTTTTATGTTATTATGCAACGGCCGGACGAGACAGAGAGTACTGCTGCTGTACTACAGCGGTAGGCAGCAGGTATAGCCACAAGATATTTCCGCCAAACAAGAAATGAAAGTGCTTCCATGAAACGGAGGAACAAACAACGTATTTCATGAGTTTTTTTTTCTCGGGCTGGTGTAGTTTTGAAGACAGCAGTGCGGCCGCTAGCGCCCCCGCTTTTCGCCGGAATCGAAAGGGAGACGCACTAGAGCAGTACATCACTTTGTCTCGTGTAATGCGGAGACTTGGTGGCTTGGTTGTCGTGTGTGGTAGTTAGGTGTAGCGTGTAACAAGCGCACGCACGACGTCAGCCGCTTGCCGAATGTATGAAGGGCCTGCACTGTCAAGAATTCGGGGCGTGATTGGTGGATCCATGGTAGATGTCGGAGACGCGACTTTCTGCCCTCGCTATCGCTGCACGCAGTCCGCCCCGAGAGCGCGCGGCACGCCGGGAGGGCCCTCGCAACACAGAGCTATCGGTAGGTGCAAATCTCGCTTCGAGGCGAGGTCTATGGGCGGAAAAACCGCGAAAAAAGGGCGCTTCGATCACGAGAGAATCAGGATTGCATTTCCTGCGATCTCGTGAGCCCCAGACTAAGCCCGTAGGAAATCCGTCTATAGGTCTATATCCTTGGGTGAGCATTTTAAGAGTACTCAACTTTTACGAAAGCCTTTGGGTAAGTTTTTCGAAGAAACTCGTTCGTACTCAATCAAGCGTGTTAGTCAGTAGTTCAAATCTTCTCAGTCGTACTCACCAACTTCGAAATACTCTTGAGAACGGCGTCTAAGTAATACTTCACTAATACTCTATTTACGGAACACATTCTGGGTATCGGTCGATTTGTGTGTCGTTCCCATCGTGGGTTAATCGAGCGTGGGATCGGCCCCAGGGAGTGCGGTATCGTATGTCCCGTGCGGTCGTTCTCATAACGATGAAAATCATTCGGCGACATTCCTTCCGTTCTGCTACTGCTGCTCAGCCCATGGCCGACAGCTGCGGCGATTATGCGCACCACAACGCCAAGCGGCGCTATTATAGTGTGCACGTTTGAATCAGTAGCTGACGTACAGTCTGGCTGTATTCACATCTGCCCCGCTGCTCTTGGACTGCTGCCGACAACCAAGCGGGTTGCAAGCCTACTCTTGGCGGCAACATTTTCGCACACTGCTGTACGCGATAAACGTTTTTCAGCGGGGACACCTATGGAGATGCTAGTGCGCTTCGGTCACGGACCGACGGCTGCGATGGGGCGTTCATGGGTCATGGTCTCGAAGAGGCAAAACTGCATCGCGGGCGCTAGTGAGCGCCAGTGGTGAAAACTTAACTAAATCTCCTTTCGTATGTGACTCTTATGCACACGTTTTTGTTGCACATGAGTGTGTACATCTGAAAAATGTTGGGTCACGACAAGGTGGTCACGGCGCTACCTGCGGGGGCTATGTACATACTGCGCTTCGGTCACTGACCGATGGCTGCGAAGGACACTCGTGACTTCGCAGCGGCAAGTTGCATGGCATGGCGTGTGCGCGCCAGCTGTGCAATTCGAACCAGTACCCCGGTGTGTGTGTGTTTTTATTAGTAGCATCGACCGCGCTAACCGGCTGACCAATGAAACGACGTCAGTGCCAGCGGGTAAAAATCAAGGTCCCTGGAAGGGGGCCAAAATTCGAAAAATGCGCAATACGCTTGATGCGAATGCCAATACGACTCTCTCCACGTGTTCTTTCACGTAGACACACATCTCAGCTACACAAATGCGTTCGCTCGAATCTAGGAAGCCACTGATGCAAAGAGCGGAGTACAGCAAAAGGGTTATTTCAAGCCCAGCCAAAGCCAGGATATCGTGGTATGCTGCATCTCCCAAGTTGATAATCGTACACTCCCAAGATCCAACAGTCATCGTGTCAGCAGCTAGATTACTCAAACAAAATAGCAACACATACACGGCCATAGCTCCACACATGCCCTCGTCCGAACCTAGGAAGCCACTGATGCAAAGAGCGGAGGACAGCAAAAGGATTATTTCAAGCCCAGCCGAAGCCAGGATATCGTGGTATGCTGCATCTCCCAATTTGATAATCGTACACTCCCAAGATCCAACAGTCGTCGTGTCAGCAGCTACATGATTCAAACAAAACATCAACACATAGACTGCCATAGCTCCACAAATGCCCTCGTCCGAACCTAGGAAGCCACTGATGCAAAGAGCGGAGGACAGCAAAAGGGTTATTTCAAGCCCAGCCGAAGCCAGGATATCGTGGTATGCTGCATCTCCCAATTTGATGATCGTACACTCCCAAGATCCAACAGTCATCGTGCCAGCAGCTAGATGAATCAAACAAAACATCAATACATAGACTGCCATAGCTCCACACATACCCTCGTCCGAACCTAGCGAGCCACTAGGAAGTCACGAGGGAGCCAAGTCCTGCTTGCAGGTTCTCTTGGCTTTTTCCTTCAGGTGAACACGTCCAGGAATCCAGTATCCGCAGCCGCCACAGTAGTACTACTACTGTACTGTGTAGTAGTAGCAGGAAATCCAGGTTGTACTACGCCAGTTGTCCAAACAAAAGATTTGTGATTCCGTGAGAGAAGGAGATACCACCGCCGTCGAAGGGTCGAGGGCACTGTCTGCCAGATGTAGGCTGTGAGATAGATTGTGCCACCTATGTGTTCTTAGCCTGCCCGGTATGTGTGTGTATGTGTTTGAACAATATTCTGGAATTTGTGTTGGAAGGAAAACATTCGCTGCTGATGCAACGCAGCTGAGAAAGGCAAAACAATTGATATTGAGTCAGAAGTTCCGAAGATAGCATTGTTTCGAGAGGAGAGAGAATTAGATCTGATGCATTGGTAGAATGACGTAGTTCTTGAGAGGACATGTTGGAGTAATTGCAGTACAAGAACGACTCTATTCTACTGCATGGGTTTATGCGGTATTGTGAAGGCGTTGCCAAGTCTGTAACCGTCAGGTGAAGACAGCTTGGGCGTCTGTGTGGATAATAAGATCACTCTCTGTGTTTGCTTACCTAACCTCGCATCACATGCCAGCTACTTTGTAGCCACAGCTAAAGGAATAGCTGTACAGCAACTGCAGTGACAGTAGTGCTGTTGCCTCAACATACCATACCCGAGCTATCAAGCTCCATCCCAAAGTAGAAGGCTGTCACGCCCATCATAGTTCCTACACTGTACCGTTGGCGGCTACCGCGCCGCTGGCTCTTTTATTTCCCGACCAAGGGACCCCGCGCGCCAAGGCACCGACGCACAAAGCTACTCAACAGGGTAGACAGCGCGAATAGATCACATGCGCGCGACCCCGCGCGATGCGGGGACACATGCGGCAGAGTCCCTCCGCAATTAAATCACACACGGGAGTTGCACAGCAGCAGCAGCCCCGCTACACCGGGCCTATGGTATATGCTATGGGTAGAAGTGGAGGATAGGGGCCAGAGGCCCAGAGGGGCAGACGACAGAGTCCAATGATGGGGAAAAAAAAAAAGGTAGACTAGTCGAACAGACTATTCGATATACTCGTAGCATAGTATGATGGTTGAGATGTTGTGTACGTACGTGCCAATATTGCAGTGATGAGATGCGGAGGAACAGGAACTTTCTACATATTTTCCTTGGTTGTGAGAGGCTTTTGGTGAGGATTCAGAGAGATTCGTTGTGTGAGAAAGCATGAAGGCGTGACTCGATACCGTGATGGTTTGACGAGCACGAGCACGCCCCCGATTAATACAACAC